TAAATTGTTAAAGTGCTATGTAGTAGACTTTAAATAAAGTGCAAATGTATGTATTTATTTCTGACCTCACCTTTGGATTCATACCTAAGGTGTTTGTTCTAGTGTTCATCCGCTTGGGCTGACCAGGGTAAAACCTCATATGGTCAGTATGAGAAACCTTATGCAGAACACTTTAACATTTCGATGCTATTCTATTTCAACATCTCTGCAACTAAATCTCACGCTGATCACATGATGTCTTTCCGCATAGGTTGTGACTCACATAGGTTGACAGACTTAATCCACTCTCGGGAATCGGTTGAGAAACTTAATCTGCTCTCGGAAGTCGGTTAAGTAATAACTCAACTAGTGTGAGTATCTTAAGCAACTTGATTAGCTTTCGGAAGTGAGCTAACTCTGACGACTTAGCTTTCGGGAGTGAGCTAACTCTGACGACTTAGCTCTAAGGAGTGAGCTAACTCTGATGACTTCCATAAGTCAAAGATGGTTTCTTGCTGTAAAATCTGGTCTGAGACCTGTAGTCTCTCAGAAAGGATGTACCCCAGAGGCGACGCTGGAGGTGCAGATAGTTGAGCACACTCCAAGGGTAAAGGGTCCAAATAAGAGGAATAGGTTTCCTGGCCATCCACTGGATCATCGTCCAACACAAGGTTAATGAAGTAGTGTCCGTGGCCGCTGCGGGCTCAAGATAGGTCAGAGAGAAGAGAGAGGGTGTGCCCATAGAATCGGGTGGACATGGATGTGTCCCAACTAAGGTAGGGGTCACAGACGAGGCCGTGGGATCCAGTGGCAACTTGCTTAGATCGGGGGCCAGCGAAGGTATTAAAGCAGAAGAAATATTGTAGGGGAAGATGGAATGAGGGGTTAGACCATCTTCATTTGCGGGTCTCCCGAAGAGAATTTCGAAGAGCATCACTTAAATAAACTTATTGTTCAGGGTCTACCTCGCTTGATGATGGTTTTTGTTTAGTTAAAGCCATCACTGACAATGGTGGGTTAGAGATAAGATTCCGGATACCTTCAGAAGGGCCTAAAGCGCCTAGCAAACGCCAAAAGGCACGGAAAAGAGGCAAAGGTGTATGGGGAATCGGTGTTGCAGTAAAACTCGTAATAGTGTAATCCCATAGGGGTACACCCAAGGAATCTCTGCCCTTGAGGAGGAAAGTATCCTCAGTATGATGGATCAAAATAGGAACATCAAGTAGATGATGAAAGAAGTAAGGTGAATATGGAGAGGAGGTCCAGTATGGTAAAATAGCAATTGCCTTTGAATTGATGGCTCGATTAAACCGTCGGAAGAATGCAGGATACCCATGGTGGGTTCACGAGATAGTATTGTCGAGTGGAACTGTTACAGCCGTAAAACCCATAGTTTCTCCATGGAGAGCACAGCAAATTTTTAAATGATGACAGTCTGGGCTAGCATACAAATCAAACTGTGGAACCCCCCATTGTTGAACAAGGAAGCAAAACCATGCAGGATTAAGCTTAAATTCATTAGAATAGGCCGTAGAATGGGGACGAAGTGAAGCAACAAGTAAAGGCGGTGGTACAACAAAGGGCGAGAACCACGCGACACGTCGATGAGCAGACATCATAATGGGGTCAAGGGTGGCAGAGGCTCGTGATCATGTCGACAGACCTGTTCGACAAGGCAAAAGAGCCTGTCGCCTCGAGTCGACACAGGGAACTCCATATGAGGATTAAAGAAAGAGACGGCGGACATGTGGTCAGTCCAGATATTAATGGGGTAACACGAATGGGTAGAATTCAACTTAGTCGAACGGTATGTAACTGGGAATAGACGATCAATTTCATTAATGCAAAAGCCCTCTTGACGAGGGTCAAGAAGGGGGTTAGCTGCAGTATGCAACGTTGTGGGACAGGATAATTGTACGGCTTTCTGTAAATAAGTGTTCTCCCGCTCAGAAAGGATGAGTTTTTGAGGTTTACGAGGCCGTTTATAAGGGGGCAGTTGGAGGTGGACTGCAGGGCCTCATCAGCTTGTTTACGCCGTTTGGCACTAAGAGGTTGGTACCAGCCTTTAGGGAAAGCGGACGGAGATTCATTTGTACGTGGTACATGTACAATGAAACCAGAGCCGACACCGATAGGTCATGCGTCTACGAAGAGATGGAGATGATGAGAAGCATCAGGCGTGACAAGCATGATGGTACCGTTGTTGGCTTCCATGACTCAACGGTATGATGCATGTGCAGCGGCAGTATATACGAATGGCGCATTCTTCCGTGTCAAATCCGTTAATGGTGCTAAGATGATGGCCAAGTGTGTTATAAACTGTGGCCACCAATTCATGGTGGCACAGAACACTTCTACTTCATGTTTGTCTCTTGGCGGCCGAAGGGAAAATAAGGCGTTAAGACGATCCTGACAAATTGTAGTATATGCGTGTATAAGGACACGTCCGTAATATGTCTTGATGCTATCTCGCAGGAGACAAAGGTTTGTCTTGGACGCACGGAGACGTATTACAGCTTTGTAGCATATCTGTGCATAGACGAGTAAGTGCTGCCAATAGCGAGCGAAGGCAGATGGTCCCCAATGGGACATTGCACTATCATCTACAAATTGTATTAAAACGTTGTAATAGCCGGGCCTCCACATTAGACTCTATGTTATAAACGTACTCTTAAGCAGTACGTAAATAATAAACGTACTCTTAATAGTACGAGGAACTTAAGTTTCCTAAATGGTTTTTATTGGTTTTATTAATTAATACCTTTTCCATTTTACATATCAGATATTTGGACGAGGCCATTAAAAGGCCCCAGTAAAATACCAAACATAAGAGTTGGTCTAGTTCTATTAACAGAACTATATTTACTTTCCAACTTTATTTATATCTGAATACTTCGGTAGCGAGATGGCTCAACCGAATATAGGTTTCTAGGGACTATTAACGTTACCTAGTTGATCCTCCGATCAGCCAACCAGATGTGCCAGTCTGATGAAGGCTAAGTCGGTAATTCTTGATAAGTGGCAAGTTATTGGTTAAGACAATAACTAAGGACATCAAGAGTATTTTTCTCTTTTTTATTTATTTATTCTAAAGATAGGATTTTATACGTCTCATAACCATTTACCGGATATGGTATCACGCTTCGTACCGGACTTTGATAAATCCGTACGTGAGTTACTAGCCACTGACTGGAAGTGTAATCCCAGGTGGTTTGAACTGGCTCAAAAGATATATGGGCCACATACCATAGATATGTTTGCTGCACATCATAATACATAACTATCGAATTACAGGACTTTAAATCATCCTATGGGAGACGCCTTTCAAATAGACCTCTCCAAACATAATGCGTGGGCTAATCCACCATGACAGTTAATTGCCCAGCTATTAAATTATGTTCATAAACATAAAGCTACCATCACGCTGTGTTGCCCATTACGGAGTAAAGATCCATGGCTCAATAAATTGATCAGCATGATTCAATGCGAGCCAATATATTTTGATAGGGAAGTAGATACTTTCCTATTTTAGGGTACCCGAGCCGTCCAGAAGACGCCCTGGAGACATACTATTATATGTCGTATAGGTCCCATTGGAACAACTAAATGAAGCCCTTCTGAGACCTTCCTTAACAAGGTCAAAGAATCAGAGATTCCACTCTCTACCCAATTGAACATTAAGCAGTTCAAAGGCAACATAGACCCTAAAAATCAGAGGACGACGGGACTTGCGTTTTTCACGGTCGGACAAAAGAGTAGTACGTAACTCAATAGCGATACACATGTGCCGGGAGGGCAGGGCGGAAAGCCTTCGCGCCCAACATAAGATGAGAATTTGGGCCATAGGCTTAGCTTATTAGGGATTCTCGTATGGGTTTTATAACCGTCAAGGTTTTCTGGTAGGGCCACCAGGTTTTACAGTTTTTGTTTTACAATGTTCTTCGTGTTTGTTTTAAAAAAAAACCCCCAAACGAAACAATTGTAAAAAAAATGAAATTGTTTTATAATTAACAAAGAAATCAAATTCTTTTCTACTCATGAGTCATGAGCGTCTAATGGTTTTTATATTGTATAGTATGAATTGCATTTGTATCACATTTTCCGTTAAAACTTTTATAAATCGAATAAACTTTTACATTTAACTTTTATTCTAGTTGCGGTCCTTCGTATGGATATAGGTGGACCTTTCGGGTATAAATAGATTAAAGTGTGTACCGATTTCACAATACGACCTAGCCCTACATAAAGAACTTAGGTAGGCCCTTCTGGTCACCTTCTATTCAAAGTCCTCAAAACGTGATGAGATTAGCCTGAAAACCATTGCCTTCTGAAACATAAATAGCCGTCTATATCAAAACAGAAAAATAATAGAACACTGTTCGACAACAATTTCCAGGGAGTGCCGTGAATTTATTTTCATGGCCTTCTATTTTAAAACTGTACACTATAGTATTATTTACCGATGAAACATCACAGCTAATAATAATTCTTTAATTTTTCAAAACAACAAAAAAAACCAAAAAATTTGTGGAAAATATTCACTTTAAAAAAATATTTATGCATTCAGATGTACAATATTTATGTATTGTGAGATCAATATCTATAACTGTCCACAGGATCGCACATTCACATCACTGATCAAGCTGCAGTGATTTATAAGGATGATGTCAGACATATTACTTTGCCTGGCTATAGTAGCTACCGCAATCCAAGCGGCTGAGTACAAAATCACCCCTCATTTATACAAGGACGAGCTGTACTTAGACGAGGTCTCAGACTTCTCGCTTAAGCTCGACCAGACCACACATTGGGCTTTGCAAGTAGAACCAGAGAAGTCAGAGGTATCCATAGAAAATGCGTTTGTTCAGTTCATAGACCGTCGTGGGGATGGTGATACAGAGTGCGACACATTTGAATACGTGCCTTTGGTAGGATATGGGGATATGTCCGACTTGCAGCAGACATTCGGTGCAGCTTCCAATCAAGTGCGCTTTGACATCCGCATAACCCCTGCGCTGGCATGTGCTGCGATGACGAAAAAGAGGAGCGAGGTGGTACTCACAAGCACAGTGATGGTAGACTATTTAATCGCTGGTATGCGGAGACGTCGTCATAGTAGTGGTACGATAGTCAGTTCTATGGCGAATGTGCACAGACAGAGGCGAGTCAGCACCGACGAGACCACCGTTACAGCTATCGTTCAGATCACATACACGCCTCAAGAGCTTACAGAGGCGTTGGCAAGCGAGGCCCAATTAAAGACATCGGTTGCTGTGATGAAGGGCACGGCTGCCGTGATCTCTATGGGAAAAACAGTTCTTATCTACACCGTGGGAGGGTTACTGCTATTGCTGTGCTGCTGTTTCTGTTGTGGTGCGTGCTGTGGTGTGTGCTTCAGCAATATCCGCAATAAGCGTAAAGCAGCTAACAGTGGACAAGTGGTGGCTGATTCGCGTGAAATGGACAGTAACTTGACCATGGTCAGAGACGAGCAGAGTCGCATGTCCTTCCAGTCAGATTCGGGTGCGAATGTCATCAATGTTAACGTAAAGAGTGCGGAAGACCTGCCACCAGGATACAGCGTGGAACCAACGCTTAAACAAGAAAACTTAGAAAATAAGCGTGTATAGTTTTCCTCTGGTGCTCACATGCTTTGTCTTTCAGATGATTGAGAATGCTGCGTACAGACGCTTACGACAGTATAAACAAATACTGATTTGACATTCCATGCACATTTTACGGTGGAATCGAAAACAGAATTAGAGAACAAATAAACTACAGCGTCTCGCCGCGACCAATGTTACACTATGCTGCGAATAAATACCATCTTTTCCCAGAGTATCCTAAAGTAGTATTTGGCCCACATGCGCACCACATTCTTTTTAATAGAGCCTGAGCTCGTGTGAGCTCGTGTGAAACTCGAAAGATGACCCATTACATCCTATTGTGGGTGAAAGAGACTTGATAAGAAAAACCCTCGCAACCACGGGCAACAACCCTCAACTAGCACATTCTGAACACTAAATTTGAACTTGATTGCTTATGGAACCACGACGACCAATCACCATAGCTGCATGACTGATATATATCGACCCGTTGCTGGAAGATACTTAGTAATCTCATATAGAAGTAACAATATGAAGTAACAGCTCAATTTATAGGACTCGCGATTGGTAGCTGGTCTTAACAATTTGGCTTCGATTCTCGTCTGCTGGCAGGTGTCCACGAACTAATTTGCGGCTTCACATGGTTTGAATGATCGACTTTCGCTATGCATTATGATCAAATGCTAATTTTAATAGTGTATACTGCTGGACTACATTGTACACGTTGCACTTGTTACTGACAGTTCCAGTATGGTGCCACAAAGCAACAACTCAGCTAGGTTGCATGTAAGTCGATTATTCTTAGAATTTCTGCACATCAAATACGCAAGCCGCGCGCGTATATTTCGCCTTAATAGCTACACGAATGAAACCTGTATCGTTCCCTGGGATTGTATTTAGACCCGCTACCACCCCAAAGCGTCAATCAACTGCTATATCTTCGCTCCTCATTTCGTAGTCCTGGCATCAACAGCCCCTTCTCCTCCACTGCACCGTCGACCAGACTCCTGCGCGCCTCGGCATGCTCTTCTCTCGCCACCAACGGCAACAGCAGCAACAGCGGTGACCAGGCAATCAATTGCACCGTCGCAGTAGCGTGAAAGGCAATGTCAAAGCCATAGCTATCCACGAGAATACCTCCCAGCACTGCGCTGCCACTCCAGCCCTGTGCGAATGCATCAGAAGCATACCGCGTGTCAAACAGCGGGTATGATTGAACACTGCATGTACTCACAAGGTAGAAAAGACTGTCCGAGCGATACTCTGAATGAGTGCAGGCGTGCATAACATTCTACATGGATTTAACAATGGCACAAGCACCTCAAACTTGCGGGGGGACATAGCTCGTAACGAGAGGCGCCGACGTCAACGGATAGTCTCAACACTTATCAGACGGCCAACGAGACATACCACACGTGAGTAAACTGATATAAGGGATCGATGTCGTATACATTAAGACAAGATGCCTAAGACTAGAGAACCAACTGTTGCAGAACTTTTACGTACGATTACATATCTAACAAACCACTGTAAGACACACAACTGAGCTCTCGAAGAGACGTGGCCCCTGATAGGTGAATGAAATCGTGAATAAATAGCCCCCCCCCTGCCTGAACCCTCGCCACACAAACCCAAAATTCAGAACAAAACGACGCTTACTACATCGTAATGTCCCGAAGCTTCCACATACTCCCAATTCGGAAATCAATCATTCAACATTGACTTGAAATGACCACGAAACGCACACACAAGCGCCCCTTACAAAAGCAGAGAGTGACTCCAGCGCACCCCATTTGGCCCGCTGATTGGGTGGGCAGTAGTCCATGAGAATGGATCGCGCAAGAGGCACCACACAGTTGATGAGCGCCGATCGAATAATGTAGATCGATATCAGCCAGTAAGGGTGCTCAATCCACAGCGAATCAAAGGTCGCCATGACCCACAGAAGCGCAATGCCAACAATTTTGAAGCACACCAAAACCTCCACGCGCCCGTATTGCAGGGATATCTTCTGTCCGGTTAAACTGAGAAGAACTTCGACCACGGGATCTGTAGGGGTACAAAGAGGGGATGTAGTCTCCTTGTCAATTCGTTGCTGCGGCATGCATTAGCATTTTAACACGAACATGTGCGTAAATTCATCAGCCATATTGTATTTACATCCAATGCAAATAAGCATTTGTGTGAGTGATTTCCCCTGGCGTGACTTCGACTACTCGAATGACTCGGCCTCGTGAAACTCCAATGATACTAATACTATGAATGCGCTGAGATGCAAGGGGGTTGGCGCCGATACAAGACAAATTTGAGAAGCTCTCTGCTCCAAAAGTATAATGTACAAGGTAGAGTGCAGTAAGTTGAATATACTGGTGGTCGTTAAAATCTGTTTAAAAGGTCCCAATGCGGTCAGAAAACACGCCGCAGGGAAACGCGATACTCACTAATGCAGCTAGTATGAAAATAAAGAATTTGGGTTTAGGCTCCGAGAGTGATCATATACTTACTAAAGACGACGACCTTACGGTAACAAAGTACAAACGACTGTCATAGGAATGTAAAGAGCACATGCATACTTGTCCACACTCCCGAATGAAACCAGCCAACAGAATTACAGTGATAGCGGCGCGGTGTTGACAAAATTGCAAGTAACACTATGCATCGCAAACAACCATAGTACAAGCCGCGATAAAATAAGAGTACTGGAGGAACGCACAAACAGAGTTATCATTAGTTACACGTAATTGGCGCCCCCTCTGCCATCTCGAATCTACAGACGAGTTCGTGGGATCGCGAGGACTACCACAGTCGCAACCCGCTGCTGTGAATGACAATCAGTGCACACAATCGATGCGGCACAACAGTTGTGAGTACTATAGACTCAGCCTGTCGGTTACGGCTGGTTGCAAAATTCTGATAGCAACTTGCCTAACGTAACTATATCCTGACATATGAGTTCAGTAAGGGTCCCACATCTGAGCTGAAAAAATACACAGCAAAGATACAGTCGTCGTGTTCCCACCAGCAGACAATATGCAAGGACAACACACTGTGAAAACTAGTCCCAGTCGAAATACACAGACCGTTGTATATCATACCGAGTACGAATACGAAGTTGACCAGGATGGGCGACAGTTGTAGGACATCGGCGACTGTGCAGATCGAAGAAATACTCAGTGTCAGTGTTTGATGGAACAATCGCGCGAATAGCTATTGCGTGCGTGATTTAAAATACCACAGAGCATTGATACAAACACGTCTTGGAAAGCAAGGATGTACGGCGATACGTTGGTGCATTATCAACAAGCCAGAAACTGGAGAGATGCCCACAATTGCAGGTGACAGAACTTGCATAAAAATCTCATCAGTGCCCAAACCGCACAGAATATAAACGAAAATTAGCAAGTCAAAACAAACAGAGAAAGTCTTAATGAATAGAGGGAACAATGCTTGAGAAGCAGAAGGGCGACTCACAGTAAATGGGGAAGAACTTGATGGTCATCCCAGAAGCCAGTCCAAACGTCACATCAGATATGGCGACGATGTAGGGGATGTGAGTCACATGAAGCCAGGAAAAACAGCCCTTCGCTCGGATAGTCTCTGCACTTAGTAGCCGGGCCTTTATTATTTCAGCTTCCGCCGCCTCCTAAAGTATCGATTTGCAAACTCATCTTCAATACACGTAATTTGACAACTTCGAAATGCATACATATGATGGGAGAGAACAGTATTCAATCCTCGAGCTTGGCATGCGGTCGATATGAAACAGCCATGCAGCACTCGGAAATACGGTTCGGGTAAAACAATTACCAGCAGCCTCTCACACGACAGACAGCCTAAGAAAAGGAACCGCCAGTGCATTGAATAACCCCATGCAAACTTCATGTAAACCACATTGGGTATACAAAGTAGAAAGTATGAATACTTCAGTTGCTACGACGGTCGTATGAATACCTCCGTAGCTAAGTGGGTCGTATGATCACCTCTGTAGTCAAGTTGGTCGTATGAATACCTCTGTAGCTAAGATGGTCGTATGAATATCTCGGTAGTCAAGATTGTCGTATGAATACCTCAGTTGCTATTAATGGTCGTATGAATATCTCGGTAGTCAAGATTGTCGTATGAATACCTCAGTTGCTAATATGGTCGTATGAATACCTCTGTAGCTAATATGGTCGCATGGATACCTCTGTAGCTAAGATGGTCGTATGATTACCTCTGTTGCTAAGAATGGTCGTTGATTACCTCTGTTGCTAAGATGGTCGTATGATTACCTCTGTTGCTAAGATGGTCGTATGAATACCTCTGTTGCTAAGATGGTCGTATGAATACCCCTGTAGCTAAGATGGTCGTATCATTACCTATGTTGCTAAGATGGTGGCATGAAAACCTGTAGCTAAGATTTTCGTACGATTACCTTTGTTGCTAAGATGGTGGCATGGATACCTGTAGCTAAGATGGTCGTATGGATACCTCTGTTGTTACGATGGTAGTATGACTACTGCTGTAGCTAAGATGGTCGTATGATTACCTCTGTAGCTAAGATGGTTCTATGACTATCTCTGTTGCTAAAATGGGTCGTAAAATTACCTATGTTGCTAAGATGGTCGTTAGAGTCGAAGCGCCATTCAATTTGTAAGATAAAAGGACCACCGGTACAAATCACGTCCATTACACAAACTCTGAGTCCATGATCGCCAGTGAATATATGCAAAACAAGTACAGACTACTAGCCTCTCGTTGAATGCTGTCACGAAGCGACTAACAGGGACTTCACTTCTAATACGTATTCACTGCGAGAAAGCAAACACAGCTATTTTGGTCCAAGACTCTTGATAACCACCACGCACTAGTACATTTATTGCAAGTGAATAAAGTAAAGCGCAGACAAATACCTGTGTTGAGTCGTCAAGCAGAGCATCGCTCTCATCGCCAAGCGTATCATCGTCACTGAAGAAAAACAACGACGCTATGGAGATGAAGTGCAGGGCCATCCCGATCATAAAGATGATAGTCATCTGTTTGATCCCCCACTCGTTGCCCAGGATGAGGAACAGCACCATGTTAGATACCGGTCCGGATGCAAGACTGCCAATTGACAGCACATACCGCCAGGTTTCGTAGCCACCTACAGAAAACATGTTTGCAAGCAACTTAAAGTTTTAAAGTCAAGGCGAAGATGGGTTTTATAGAGGCGGTGTACAGGGAAAATGTTTACAGATATGAGAAAACTCCGACGCGAGCGCTTAGACAATATATAAACTCGTGAATGCATGCATATAGTAAAATGGAGTACGAATTATTTTGTACATAGAAAAACGGTGGGCCACCTGGAGGCGAGTACTTACTTCTTTGACCCGACGGGATGGAGTCGGCGTAGATGGCGTACAAAGGAGGCGACCACATGCCCATATATACGCCAAATACAGCCATGCCAACGCACAGCATGAGAAAATTCTCGTACCAGTTATGCCCGTATGGTTGTAAAAGCGCCACAATTGTCAATGCGATGCCCAGTGCACCGATACCTCCACTCCATCTCAGAACAATGTCCCTGTATGGTAGAGATACTCAAAGTTATACATTGGCACTGTTAAAAGTATAGCTCGCCACTTGTGCCCTCTTCCGCCTGTGTTTGTTTGTGAGAAAGAAGATCTGTCGATCCATATCTTCTTTCTCACTGAAGGATGTAGCCAACAGAAAATTACCGGTGCACACGATCACGTTCAAGTAGACGACGTCAGCCTACCCAAGGACAAAACATGATCGACAACCCTCCAGATACACTACAACTACAATGATAACAATCCATGTATGCAATATAAGAATTGGTGTCATATTTTAATACAAGCAAAATTCGCAATATATAGCTTGATAACTTTCGCCCGCGGTATTGAATCTATGATTGTCGTCGAATACGCTCTGCTGTAGCACCACATCATATTCAAAGAGAGAAGCAAACAAATAATGGGATGTAAAAGCTTCACGACTATGTACATATCAACAGTTCGCAATACCTTCTATATCGATCGGCAAGGATACTGGCTGGTATTGAGGCTAGGGCTTGCGCAGTACCCTGGATACCCTCAGCATACCCTGCATGCTGTGGTCCAAAGGATGATGAAATGGACCTTTCAGATTAAAGATCACCTACATTTACAGAATCTTTGCCCTTTTCAGTATGATTGCGAATAATAATCACTGGAAAGTAGTATGCTGATAAGCAAATTCACACGAGGTGCTACAAGATTACGAACATGGCACTAATATACTCGAGATTGAGAAGAAAGCTATGGAGGACTCAATATGGCGAGGGCGACGACATTTTGTCCAATGGCGTACAAAAATCTCATTCAGTTCGATAATTAATATTTCAGGCCATACCTTGTTGTCTCCGCACAACTTGAATAGGTACGGTCCAAGAATTGCGTAATTCCACATTCCTGTATAGAAATTGCCAGGTTAGCACAGAAATGAATGTGTGCAGCCATTGTTGACATGTACATATTCGGAAAAAAATTGATGAAGCAAAAGTATCTTAAGACTATCAAACGTAATATACAGTTATCTGGTATGCGGCCACGTGACAGGATTGACGATTGTTGTAATGATATGGCGGCGTGGGAGGCTATTTCATTTGTCACTCACAAATGGAAACGCGGAGACAGATTATATCGTACACGAGTGGAGTGTGATATCTCAACCAAGTCTATTAAAATGTTCATGTCTCTGTGCTGCCTAGTCGAGAAATATAGCATCACCGTATGGCAACCAGACATAAAAAACGCCGCAAAACTACATACCCATGGCTAAGCCATCGAAGAATGTGAAGAAATTTGTCAGATATATATTTTTGCTCCCCATGATGGCCTGATTCTGTTGCGCACCTGAGGTAAAGTCAAATTAACAATACAAAACTTAGTCCCAATAGAATCATGACCAGTTACCCCTTAGAAGGCTACATGGGATGCGGTACTGCAACAGCACCATACAAAACAGGAAATAATATATAATGTAATTGGCCGTACCTTCCCGTACATGTCAGTACATTCCCAAAAGTATATATAAATATAAAAAGATCTAAATATATATATATATATATACATACATATATATATATACATATGTAAATATTTATATATATATATATACATACATATATATATATACATATGTAAATATATATATATATATATATATATAGGTGTGTGTATGAGCGTGCACAGGTGTCCCTCTGTGATTGTGTGTATATATACATATATCCACATGTTTATATATATATATAAATATGAATATGAATATAAATATATACATATAGTGTGTGACGCACACCGATACTCGGGGCACTCTTTGGATCCTACACTCGACCAGAACACCCCTTATATATATAAACATACACACACACACACACACACATATATATATATACCTATTCGTATACACACACACACACACACACACACACACACACACATATATATATGTATTTGTATAAAAATATAGTATTATGTATATACAAACATAAATATGTTTCTATATATATATATATATATATATACATATACAAATACAAATATATATATATATATACATAGACATAAATACACACACACACACACACATATATATATATGGGTGTGTGTGTGTGTGTGTGATTGCGTCTGTAAATATACATCACAAAGATCTATATATGTATATATAAATATAATATATAATGGTATATATATATACATAGTGCAAGTGTAAGTGGAAAGGTAAGTAAAAGAGTAAATATACAAGTATATATATATATATATATATAAGTGTGTTTGAATATATGCATCTTATATTTCATACACTGACATTATAGTAATTGCGCTGATGAGAATTCGTTCCGCTTGACGGTAAGGTGTAAGTACCAACATTAATAGTAGGGACGCAACGCAAATGTCGACCACAGCCCATATCAGTGGCTTAAAAGACCGCTGAAAATGCGGTACTGTTAACAGATCAGTTGTTTCAACAAAAACGAGAGTCGGTCAGAATCAAAGCTCGCGTTTACCACGCTTTACCATGAACGCAATCGGAGAATAGCTAGATATACATACCTCTTGTAGACCGCCAAATTGACTAGATTTCTAATGTTGAACACAGCAGCGCGCTTTGTGCTGTGAAATGTAGAGTGTCTTGTACTTTAGCTAAAGAGAGTGGATATTATATATTTATGGAGGCTTATTATAACACCATTTAGATTCATGAATATGTATTTAAGATTTTTTCTTTGGATTCTTTTGGTTTGGGGGCTTTTTTTGAAAGAAAGCAAAAAGAAAACAAAACAAACTGAGTGTCCGAGCCGCGTGTATTTATTTATGACATTTCTTGAAAAAAAGCAGACAAACTGTTCTGAAAATTTAAATGCCTTATATGGTGGTGACGGGAAGTCATTGACTGAATACATGTATCGGAGGCAGGCTTTATGGGAGAATCCAACCTTGCTTGTAAATATTTTCATAATGTTCTTGTACGATACAGGGAATGTCAGATTGTCCAATATGATGTATCCTACTCATGCCATAGTGCGGCTTGAAGACTCGTTCGCAATGACGTCGCTCAGTTGCCGCATCAGGTATGCCCAACCCGGTATATTCACGGGCTCACGACTAGCTTCCGCGGCAAGGATGTATATAGACATATATATATATATATATATATATATATATATACTACAATAACACAACACACACACACACACA